CCTGAAGGTCTGGAGCTGATGTTCGGTACCAATCTTCCCACTGACGTCTCGAGTCAACTGAAGGCAAGTTCAACGTTTGGCCCTAGTCAATTCGGTAAAGCTAACGTGAGTAGTATTTACTTTACTGGGCTTCAGTCAATCCAACCGAAGCCTTGACCTACTTCTTGCCCGCTTATGGCAATCACGCCTTCATACTACAATATGCAATGAGGGCTCTAGAGAGTCATCCCATCGACGTGCGCTTCTATTTTGTCCCACAACTAGTCCAAGCTTTGAGATACGATTCCCTGGGCTATGTCGAACGTTACATACTGGAAACTGCTAAGCTGTCTCAATTGTTCGCCCACCAAGTTATCTGGAATATGAAGGCAAATTCCTATAAGGACGAGGATTCGCAGATCGTGAGTTGATAAAACGTAGAGCAACTAGGGGTATGAGAGGACTGACAATTGTTCGCAGCCGGATCCACTTAAGCCAACCTTGGACAGATTTATGGATGCGTTGGTTGCAAGCTTCACAAATGAGGAACGTGAATTCTACGAAAGGGAATTTACCTTTTTTAACGAAATTACTGGCATTTCAGGCAAGCTCCGACCGTATATAAAGAGAAGTAAGGCTGAAAAGAAAGAGAAGATTGAAGAAGAGCTTCGCAAGATCAAGGTGGAGGTCGGAGTGTACCTTCCAAGCAACCCTGAGGGCGTTGTCGTGGGTATCGACCGCAAGTCTGGGAAACCTCTGCAAAGTCATGCCAAAGCACCATACATGGCGACCTTCAGGATTCAGAAGACTCGGACACAAGCACAAGGAACCCACAAAGAAACACGCTCACTTGCACAATGTTGCAGCGACTTGTCAATCTCGGGGGAGAGTCTGTCCAACGACGAGACCTACGAAGTCTGGCAATCAGCTATTTTCAAGGTTGGCGACGATTGTCGTCAAGACATGTTGGCCCTGCAGATGATTGCTGCTTTTCGAAGCATATTCGCAAGCGTCGGGCTTGACGTATGGGTGTTCCCTTACCGAGTGACCTCCACGGCTCCTGGGTGTGGGGTTATCGATGTTCTTCCAAATTCAATTTCGCGTGATATGCTGGGTCGTGAAGCTGTGAATGGTCTATATGACTACTTTATCTCTAAGTACGGTGGAGAGGATTCTATACGGTTTCAAGAGGCACGCACAAACTTCGTGAAGAGCATGGCTGCTTATTCCGTCATCTCCTATTTGCTTCAATTCAAAGATCGGCACAATGGAAACATCATGATCGACGATGCAGGCCACATCATACATATTGACTTCGGGTTTTGTTTCGACATTGCACCAGGGGGTGTGCGCTTCGAGCGCGCGCCTTTCAAACTGACATCTGAGATGGTTGCTGTAATGAGTGGTAATAATCACTCACATACTTCCCCCAGCGGCGGCTCTGGAAGTGGCTCTCACAGCCCCACTAGTACTCAGCCCTACATGTGGTTCGAATCGCTGGTCGTGAAGGCTTTTCTTGCGTCGAGGCCGCACAGCGCCAAACTTTCTCACATAGTGTCCTTGATGCTCGATAGTGGCTTGCCCTGCTTTAAGCCCGACACGTTGAAAAATTTCCGAGACCGATTTGTACCTGAGAAGAATGAGAGGGAGGCAGCTGATCACATGCGTGAGCTTGTGCGCAAGTCGTACATGAGCGTGTCGACGAAGGGATATGATCAGTTTCAATTGTTGACCAACGGCATCCCCTATTGAACCAAGCTAGTCAGCTTCTCAGCATGTACTGGACTTATGGAAAAATGTCAGATGAACTTTTACTTCACCTCAATTGACAGTGTCTCAAGACTTGGTCCACTTTGTACAGTATATGAGCGTGTAACCAAGGGCAACAATAGTTCTAAAGACTCAATAAACTTCATTTAGTTCAGTCTTGTGATACACTGTGAATATAGACTCACTCGCAATAGGAACGAAAAGCGTGAATGCCCTGTGTAGATCATTGATAAGAAGAAGTGGCCTGGAAATAGGGAAGAACCGCAGAACATGCCAGCCAAAACTGCCCTCGAAACACAAGCTCAAAACAGAAGCCTTTCTCCCGCCAGCAACTCCCATTGACCAAAGTCAAGGGGGCCAAGAGTGTCGACGAGCAAATCAACCGAACGAATAATCCTTAATAGATTCAGTTTACACAAGTCATGACATGGAGGGAAACAAGAGGGAAAGTGAAACAAGATCGAAATTTCCCAACTGCCTTTTATATGGCACATACACGGTTTTCAAGGTTTCTCTGGCTATATACGCCGCCAGCCTGCTTCGTAAATCGGCTCTACAATCCCCTCGACAACTCCTCATACCTGATGATAAATCCCTCCTAGAAGTCCATGGTAAGGCAAAACAGATCAACCAATCCTGAACCTCTGCTCTGAAGACATCAAACGTTGACTACAATTGGGGGGCAGTAGCAGGCTCGAATTGAAGTGGGGAGTAAACTGGTCCCACTAATCCATGAAATCGCCGCGAAGAATCTTCTCCTGAAAAAAGTCAGGCTTGTTCTGTTTGGGTTGCTTGGGAATTTCGCGAGTCGGTTGCTCCATCGAAGCAATCGAGGTAGCCCGCTGGTGGTGACATTGCTGGCCTGAGCCGCTTAAGAGCTGGGTTTGAGGCGTGTTGGGCGAAGTTATTCCCAAGGATGGGGCACGCTCGGCCCGGGTTCGCAGGGCTTCAGACCAGTTGAAGCCTTCGCCTATTTGTCTCCAAGCCACGTTAGACATCTCGATCTCGGGAAGAACAACATTTGTACTTGCAACAGTTGACTCTGTGGGGCTATGGGAGCTTTTGCTACATGTGGGCGGTAAACGTCGTCTGCTAGACGCAGGAATCCCAGGGGGGGGAATATCTACCGTTGCTAATGCTGCCAGCACGAGCATCTCGTAGCGCTTGCGCGCCAAAAGAAAGACGTCGCGCGAATGGAGAGTGAGGAGCGGCGCTAGATGGTCCGCCACTCTCACTGTCTTCAACGACAGCGTCTTCTAGATTTGCCGAACCGGATCCAACTGAGCTGGAAATGCTGCCATGCCGCATGCTTTTGCTTCCCCATGGGGACGATTGGTTCGGAGATCCAGCGAGCCCCAAGGTGGTGATGGACAGTCGTCGACCTTGACTGGGTGGTGCATTACCCACTGAACTATCCATAGAGCCCGTGGGTCCGCCCGCAGAATGTCCCTGGCTGCCGGACCTAGATAGATAATCCGCAAAGGAGAGGCCTGAGGCCAAGGATGCTCGGCGTCGGTGCGCAGAAGAAGATGGGACCGAGATAGGGTCGGTTGAACGTTCATTTGACATGATGCCAAGACGCGCGTGAATTGGCCAATAAGGAGATAGCGAGGGTTATGTCTTAATCACATGGATCAAAGTGATGGGAAACCATTCGAAGAAGATATCGTAAGTGGGGGGGGTGGGAAAGGGATGAGAACGAGCAACGCCTTATGCGGAGAAGCACGGTGCGTTTGGGGAAAGAGTAAGTTAAGGTTTCCTAACTTCAGCAGAAGCCCTCGCTCAGGTGATAACTTGCTGTGGGCGATATAGCTTGACTCAGGCTGGGAACCGCTCTAGATACCGCTCTGGGCTGAACAGCCTCACGACCACACGAGGAGAACGTAGGAAGTGAACTGTAGCAAATCAGCATACATCAGTTGACCCACCGGCACGTTATGCTGATTTTGAAGAACATCCAAGGATCACTGAGACTCGACGAGTAACGGTGGCGACGCCAGATGAGGTGTCATGATGGGGGGGTTCATGAGATGGGATGGCATGGGCTTGACCAAGGGGTAATGGAAGGTTGCACGATAGGGGCAGGGGCAGAAGGAAAGCGTTGAGACCAATTTTTCAAACTCACCGGTCCAAGCGAAGCCCGGCCGAGATACAGTCTGCAAATGTTCCGAACAGGCAAGAGGTGGGATGGTGAGATAAAAGGAGAGAGAAGAGGGGAGAAGAAGGGATAAGCGAGGTCGTGAGGTCCTAAAGTTTAAGAGTAGGGAGAGGGAAAGGAAGGAGAAGAAGGTTAAATCAATACAATGGCGATAAAATGGCGATGAAATGGAGATGAAATGGAGATTTGGGATGATGGGGATGGATGAAAGAATGATAGAGGTAATAGGGAAGGAAGGGTGATGGATTAGGAAGGATAGAAAGGAACCTTCTGAGGAGTGAAAGAAGGAAGGAAGGAGGGAGGGAAGAGGCGGAGGAGGCGGAGGAAGAGGAGGAGGAGGAGGAAATCAAGAGCGGTGGGAGATATTAGATAGGAAGATGGATGGATGAATGGAATAGTAAGTACTTCCTACTTACGTATGTACGGTACGGAGTAGTTACAGTGTAGTTAATCCCACATACCTTAACTAGTCCTTAGGTAGTTAAGTTACGGAAGTACTAACGTTACTGACTGACTGCAGGTTGCTTGGTTTGCTTCTTACCCCACAAAATAGAAAAGCGATCTAGCCCTTTCCGTCTACTAATCTAACTAGGTAACCCAGTTGACTGGGGTCGATGATTCATCATTGGTTTAGTGCATCCATGGTAAGTTAAGTTACTATCCATGATGTAAGTACTGACTAGCTGAGTACTGTACAATCATCCATCCAAATGCTGAGATATATCTATTTATCCCCTGGGAGATCCAAGAGCGATTTGATCACTGTGATACTGATAATTTTACAACCAACCACCTACAGTAAAAGACCCTTCCCCCCTCTACAATGTAAAATGACAATGTCGACATATTCGGACTCGAGAAGTGGGCGTGGTGTACAACAGAGGTGTAAAGGACCGCTTGCCGGTTCCCATCATGAAGCAGTCCCCTATCAGCTTTCGTTCTGCCTGCGTGCCTGCGTGCCTGCGTGCCTGCGATGCTTTGACTCATTCTGCGGGGCATAAGTTGATCCGCTCACTTGTATATTTATTCTTCCATTATCCAACTCTGTTGTTTTCTTTCTGTCCCCTGACACTTCGACAATCGATCCACTCCCTCACTCTTGGGCATTAGAATGAAATAACTGTACGAGTTTCCATCCCACCCCCGGTTCGATCTCGGTTCCATCACGGGCTATCTTGACTTCTCGATTCGCATTCCACGGATTCCGCAATCCCCTGGTACGGTGAAATGGAACCCGGGTGCCCGATAGCCATCGTATCCTGAATGGTTTTCCGATCAACTGTGGGCTCGGCCCACTGGCATCCTCCGTCTGTGTACCTGCTCTGTCGGCTTTCATGTCGCCCTCATCCGAGGATGACTCCGCCTCCCAGAATATAGTCCCTCGTATAGAGTCATTGATGACTCGTCCCTTGGCGGCAGTCGACGTTGCTGGTGTAGGAGTAATGTCTGGTTCTTCTAGATTCGGCATGTTATTGGGTCGCGGTGGTACCTCTATTGCCAAGCGCTCATCGTCCTGTATTGGTGACATCATACGAGCGTATCCGTAGTATTCACCAGACTTATTAGCAGAGAAGATCAGGTAAACATCATCTGCGTTCTAATCGAGGTCGTCAGACAAATATCGATTTGGGAATAATCCTGCCCCAACTCTCTCCCTTGGTTCGGTAATGTTCTCACCTCATAGGCTTGATTCAATTGATCCTCATTGTGAGTTTGTGTAGCCCAGATGTTGGTTTGTCGACTGTGTTCCAAATCCTCCACGGTCAAGCTCTTGACAACGAAGTATCTGCTCGTCATCCGGGCACTTGAGCGTGTGTTATATCCGAATTTCCGGTATGCAACCGACTCCGTATCATCGTTAATCATTAATTGCTTGCTATCGCTCTGGTCTTGAGATGGCGAGGGTGTAGCAGACCCTATGGCTTCGTGACTCGCGCTGGCTAGTATGGTTCCGTGCCGCAGTCGGCAAACAAGGCGTGCGCCATGGAACCTAGAATCATTGAATCTTGACAGAGCAGCAGCGCACGCAGCGGCGGTTTTGTAATTGATAAAGGCACAATTACTCTTGGAGATAAGAAAGACGCTTACCAGCTCCTCCGTAGCCTCCTGCGAGAAGTGATCTTTCAAGTCCATAATATTGGTTGCGGGAGGCAGATTGCCAACCCACAAAGCATGACCCGACTGCTTGGGCTTCCTTAAAGGTCCACGCAACGTGTTTGGCCCGGGCGACTGGGACGAACGCGAGGCTGCATCTGCTAGGATTAGCCCCCGCTATACCCACTTGATTATGTTTAGTCTGGCATGGAGTGTTGCTGCCAACCTACCGGTCGAGGAGTGATGGGAACGCATAGGCGTGGAACCGTCCACTATTGTTTTCGAGACGTCATAGTCCGTGTTGCTGTGTCTGCTTTCCCTATCCAAATCGGTGGCCGTCTTGACAATATGACCGCGCAGTGGCCGGTGATTGGAAACCGACATACTTGGCGGCGCGGGACTAGGTTTAGGTGCCGTTGCGCTCGAGGTCTGCGAATAATATCCCTGGGAATACGGTGCCTGACTGGGGGTATGGACATTTAAGTGGCTTGACGAGTTAGGTGCCAACGGCTGGTACCCGGGAGTGCTATGTTGGACATGCGGGTCCTGCTGCTGGTGCTGCTGGTGCTGCTGAACATACGGCGCATAAAATGGGAACGGGGCACCGAATGCCATGTTCGCGTTCATTGTCGCTGGAGCATAGGATGACAATGCATGTATAGGGTAAACAACCCCGTGAGGAAGGGCCGTGGGGATGAATTGTTGTTGCATAGGATATTGCTCGTAAATAATAGGGTGAAGTTGGTAAGCTGGTAGAACTGATCTCGAACCACTTATATTCGAATCCGAGTGTAAATTCCCGGGTGCACAGAAGGATGCGTAGGCATGCCCATCAGAATGCGAATGTTTATTATCAGTCTGAGCAGCCTGGCTGAAGCGGGATGAACCTGACGAGGAGGTCAATCTAAAATCCTAAGAAGATCCAATGCTTGCTGTTTGCTCTCTCCGATTTCATATCCTTACTCTTTCCCCTTCTGACTCATTAAGAAAAAGTGGACGACAGAACTTGAGACAGACTTACCCGGTGGTCGATAAGCAATTTCTGCTTCGCTGCCTTTTCCCGAAGATGCCGGTGGTTTAGTGCCATCTGCGACTTCCAGTGTGGCGTTTGGCTGGGCCATTGGAGCGCAATCACTTGAGTTAGGCATGGTAGAATAATACAAGCTGAGAATGACCACCGGAACGGCAAATCTCACTGTATGAGTATGATCTCTATGCATTAGAGAGGGGTGGTCGGTAAAGGCAAAAGGGCACTCTGTCACATACCTTCCCCAGGACCTGTAAGCTACCAACACGTCTTACGGGCTTGCTCAAGGGTTGCTTGATGACCGACAAGAGGCTTTTCTGTGTCATGAACGCCGGTTAGAATTTTTAAAACGAGTCTTGACATACACAAATCTTCAGACGCGTAAACTTCTGGGAGGCACAGATGAGTTGGGTAGCGAGGAGGAAACAGACGGACATATGTAACTATCCGCGCAACAACAGAACAACTTTCAATAAATACCAAGCTAGGAAATCTCTAACTCTGGCTTAGAAGGAGGGCATGCACATTAGTGTAGTGGTTAGTGGGAAGGCTACCATAGCACAATGTTGTAAGGAATAGATCCAGCCCACGCACGCACACACACACGCACCAAAAATTTGTGCCAATAATAGGCATTCGATGCCGGGCTCAGTGAGGAAATTGAGAGGAGGGGGGGGGATGGAAAGAAAAAAAGATGTAAGTTACTCCGAATACTTGGACGCCGACAGATTTTTTGCGGAAGAAAAAGAGTGGCCCGATCTGCCACATGGGCGTAATACCCTGAAAGAGACACTCCAGCTGTATGACCAAACGGCAAGGAGCCACAGAGCCACATTGTCAAAAGTCATGCACGAATCTCAGAGCAGCCTCACAAGTAGGGTGGAGAACAGACTAAGCGTCGAGGTGGAAGTAGTAAGAGATGGGTCAGGTAGGGTATGAGGAACCTGCAAGATTGGAGGCCATCTCATAGGCGGAAGTAGGGGGAATAGAAAATGGGGTATAGGTGAACGACCATAAAGGGAGGAAAGAAAAGGGTAAGGCGAGTAGACGGCAGGCACTTGCAAGAAGTTGGCCTCCCACATTCAGTAGAGTAGGCCACATCTCTGCCCGAAGGGAGGGGGGGGTAAATGTTGCCGTGGACACTGGACAGGCAGAGGGCACCAGCCCGTAGTTTAGTGACTACCTTGTATCATGCCAAAGCAGAAGATTCGTTGCTTCCCACGAAGATCAGAGAAAGTAGAGTATGTGGTGGCCCACAAATATGTTCAGGACCGCAGCCACTAAGGTCATCTTTGTTGAGGTCATTCCATCCCCCAAGCTCCAGCTAGAACTGGAGCTGGAACGAGTCGTAACTCAAAAGGTGGAAGAAGCGGCGGATGGTTTGAGGCTCATCAGGATTGACTGGCTGAGGCGCAAATGCCGCCGGTCCTGATTGGGAAGCGGGAAAGGGGAGGGATTTCAATTGAAAAAGCGATTAGATGGGGGGGGAGGGCGGCCAAAGGACGGGGAAGGGGAAGCAGCCCAACACTAAAGAGGGAGGGGAAAGGAAAGAATCCAGAACCAAAACAATTCACATCTGGAGATCATCCGCTTAAAACCTCCAGCAAACCGAGCCCCGAGATAAAGAGTAAAGACAACAGCAGGAGTCAAGTGAACGTACTCTTGGTGGAGAATAGTGAGGGGGAAGGAAAGGTGCGAAGCCGAAAGGGTGTGTGCAGCTAACAGCGTGAAGAAACGATAAAAAAAAGTGTATCTTCCGGTGTTAAGCACTGGATTGTCTGATACTGGACAGTAACAAGAAGAGAAACGACGGTACTTGCCATTGAACAGTTGGCAGGCTCGGTGTCGGTGAACGGAAGAAATAATCACGATCATCAAGAAGAGCCCTTGTGTAGACACAGTGTAGCCCAAAGACCGAAGCGGAGACTAGGTATGGAGAAGGAATGGCCTTCAAACCAACCAGGTTAGCAGAGCCCTGGGCAATCTAACGGATCTTCTGACCGTCAGAGCTCGGAAGAGCAACTCCTGCACAGGGCAGGTGGGTAATGCACTTCCGAACGGAAATGAAGCAAAGGACGGGGCCTGTGTATATAGCGGCGAAGGTCTTTTCTCTCCCTCTGCCTTAAAGTGGCGCCCACGGGGGCCGCGACAACGACAAGAGGGGACCGATGAGCCGGACTCTCTCGCCCTCCACTCGGTCAGTCTTCTCCTTAAGTGAGGTGAGTGAGTGAATGAACGGGATGTTTCCTTCTCGCCCTTCCTTCTTGGGATTTGGTGGCTGTGGCTGCCTCCAGTCTAAGGGGGATATCCACAGCTTAAAATCGGGTGCTTCGATTCGGATCGGGCCTTGCTTCAACGTTTTAGCAATTCATGAGCGAGACCCAATCAGCTCTCACAGAGGATCGACAAGCTCGATCCTAATACTGAGCATGGCAGGTTTGACTGACACGAAATGTTGCTTCTTATCCCTCAGTAGACAGCGGTGTTGAAGGAGTAGAAGAGTGTCACCAATTCCGTGACTTACGGGATTCAAACGAGAGAAAAAATGAGCAGCAAGATCTAATCCCTTTCGTATTTACGGATGCGGTTTACAGGCTGGGCTGTTTCTTGCCTGCCTGGCTGTCTGTCTGCGCCCTTTTCGCACCGTGTCTTGCGAAGAATGATCGAAACCGAATCGTATAGCGTTGCGGCAGACGTCGATCGAACATAGGAAAATATATAGCAAGGAACTTAAAAGAAGAATCGTGAAAGCGGGAGAACAGAGTGGAGGGTTCGGACACCGCCAGGCTTGAGGGTCGCAGGCCGTCCGAGAGATGGGAGACAACTCGTTCAATAATCTTCCAAGCCATTATAAAAGACCAGGATGTCAGAACCGAATCGGCCACATCCGACGTTCCGTGGGTTGTTGGAGGACAAGAATAGATAGTCTAGGATCAGCCAGGTACGTAGTGGCTGGGAGGACTTTGGCATCGATAGCATCGATGGCTTCTCCAACTGTTCGTGATTGGGTACCGCTGTTATGTCCCTGACCCAGTCAGATAATCCGATGGGATTTTTTCCCTCCCTCATGACAGCTTGAAGCAGGGCTCGCTCTATTTCCGAGGATTCCATGAGCAATCGAACCCACCCAGGGGGGTCATTTCATCGATCGAGGAGCGTCGTTCCATGAAGGTGGCAAATCAGGAGTGCGCTCTATACCCATTGATCAGGGCTTTGAATGGGTCCCCAACCCGAGGCGTATGCGTGGCACTGAACCACAAGGGATTGACAGCTGCAGGCAGTTTTTATACCTCCATAGTGAAGGTGATCTACACAGTAACCCAATCCGGTGAGCATAAGCCATGACCTCGGAGTAAGGTCAATGGGGAGAAAATCAGGATGATAATGATGATAATGATGATTATGATAATATTGCGGCGTTGCCGGATTGATGAGCGCGATGATCTTCGCGTAATTATGGGTATATGCTCGCAGATGAGTAGTGAGTCGAGTATCATTTGCCCTTATAATGTCGGCATGGAGCATGGTCACAATCGGGTTCGAGTGTGAGGTCGATCGTTTTTGCCGAAAAGGAAAGAAGGTATTTCTTTCCGCTTTGCGCTCTTGCTCTACCCGCTCCCTCCTTTCCCTTTCCCCGCCTCCCTTCTCGCGTGTCCCAATTTACCATCTTTCCCCCCGGCGCGTCTTCTATGAAAAGGACCGCCAACCGACAGGCTTGTTTGCCACCGACGTTAAAAGAAAGCCGCCGTAAAGTGTGAAATGGGGCCTGGGTGACGAGGTAACAGTGTATCGGGTTTTTAGGGCCTAGAGACTGCTTTTTTTGCATACCCGTTTAGGTTGATCTTATGAAACACATTTTCATAATCCAAGGCAGACATTCCTTCTGGTTAATCACGAACGTTCCAGCTTGGAACGGAGAGATCTGGTACAAGTTATTCAGACCTCTAAACGGGGGGCATGAAAAAAAAAAAGCGAGGGTGGAGATCTCGCCAGAGTTCGATAACTGCGATTCGATAGTGCAGAGATGTTTGACCCATTGAGATTTCAGACTGGAAAAAACTCCAAACGATGAGTTCCAGTTAGTAATTGAGCAAGCAATTCCGTCGTCTCCGTGCTACGAGTAGGATGGATGGATCTGGACTCCCGTCGCCGCCGCCGGATTACATGCAGCAATTGGCGAAGGAGCTCATCGGGTCAAATTCAAAGTCTAGATGTCACCGCGCCGGGGACAAGTTATCAGGTTCAAGCTAGTTGAGTGGAGAGAGCATCAGGGCTATGGAGTTTCAACGATTGCATGATTGCCGGAGAAAGGGGCGGAGAGGAGACACAGAAAATTCGTGCAGCTACCCATTAGTGCCAGTACATTAAAATTGTAGTTCAGGTTGACGTTCGCTACGGGAAGGATGGATAAGTGGGAGGAGGAAACTGCGGAATTGACTAACAGACAGCTAGCAGTCTACGAGGGGAGTATAGTAAGTTAGGTACCTACTCCCTAGTCTAGGGCGGGTGGTGGTCCCAGTGCATTCCCACTAGCGCCCGACCATTCTCCAACTGGAAACCCAGCTCAGGACACCAAATACCTGTAGTTACTTGTATCTGT